GTCGCCGCTGCCAGTAATCAGATTTGGAGAAAACTTTCTCGACCGGCGGGCACCACAGAGGGTACCACAGAGGGCACAACAGAGGGCACCAGAGGGTAAAACAGAGGGTACTACAGAGGGTACTACAGAGGGCACCAGAGGGCACCACAGAGGGCACCACAGAGGGCACCACAGAGGGCACCACAGAGGGTACTACAGAGGGTACTACAGAGGGCACCACAGAGGGCACCACAGAGGGTACTACAGAGGGCACCACAGAGGGTACTACAGAGGGTACTACAGAGGGTACTACAGAGGGCACCACAGAGGGCACCACAGAGGGTACTACAGAGGGCACCACAGAGGGCACCACAGAGGGTACTACAGAGGGTACTACAGAGGGGTGTGAGGCCCGAGCGATTCTTTGGGGATTTTTTTTATCGTGCCCCACCCTCCCCCCCCCCAAGGCGTCTGAAACGTCACAACCCCCTATCGTTTTCAACGCAGCAGACGCTCACATGAAGTGGAACCTCCCAGACGGCAGGAACGCGTTTCTCAACCTCGCGCACACTCAATCTCTCGAGCACGGCCGACACATTTCGCCCACGATAGGTTAAATCGGCGTGCGCTTTATTTCCGTTTGTCCAGCAACCCATCTGGCGCCCGGAACCCCACAACCGTCCCTTCTGGCGGACTGCGGCGGCGGCTACGCCGTGATCCGGCACCGCGGAGGTAGCGACGCGTGGCGGATCACACGCACAACCGCGGCATGCTTCAAGACGGTCACCGCTTCGCGCGGCGCTTTCAGGTGCGCTGCTCCGGCGGCCGTCTGGAACGCTCTTCCCTTCCGACATTAAGGAAGCCACTGGGAGCTGTGCACTTTTATTTCAATCGTCTAGACCGACAAAACTCATTTCTTCAGAACTGTGTTTAGTTTGTCTTCTCCCGCACCTCCGGTTAGCACGATTGGCTACGTAGGGCGTGAAAGAAGTTCAACGTACAAACTCGCTCCCCATTCCAGGGCGTTGAGGGAGGTGGCAATACCCTCGGCTTGCCAGGAGATGGGCGGCACAACAACAACAGTGTGGACTCAAACCGCGGTTCAGTCCGTCTGGGATACAACGTTTCCCCCTCGCACGCACATCGGGGGGGTTCCGGGTTCCCTCCCACATGTAAACACTGATTGGCCGACAACACCTTGATATATGGAGGACCGCAGAGCATGGGGCAATTTGTTGTTGTACCATCGTTAATTCACTGCACAGCGATTTGATTAAAGCGCTTTATATATGTAATTAAGTTAAGTTGGTGGCACCGGAAAAATCGCGTGGTCGCCTGCCAGCTTCGCCCCGTGGCTCCTCATCACGCCTTCCGAATCGCTCGCTCGCTCTCCCCGCCTCTCTCCTCTCCCCCTACGACGGAGCGAATAACTGCGCGACGCGTGACGAAATTAAAATCATTCCGACGGATGTTCACTCGTCCGACCTTTTGCTTGTCCACATCCGCGTGCCCCCTCACCCCCGTGAGCAAGTCGTACACATGCGACGCGCCACCCCACCCCGCACACGCCGCTTTCGGAGCCAAGAATTCCGCGCCCTGGCGATGCGAGCCAACGGGGGTGCCGACCCGCCCGCCCGCCCGCCTGCCCGCCCACCGGCTCCGTGGCACCTTCTCCATTTGTGCAAGTCCTCACATCTACTGCGGACGAAGGCCACCTGGGAACAACCGCCGCACGTTTAAAAAGACTACAAGCCATGACCGCCGCCGAGATAGCCGTGTGATCTACCCGCGAAGGGCTGAGATTAAGGCCACACCAACGGTTTAGTTTTATTGGCGAGTTTATGAAAAGTTTAGAAGCTTTACTCCCCTACCCACCCTGCTCGATCCCATCGCCCTCAGCCCCACAAACACCGTGCGCAGCAAGGCCACCCCCAATAAATAAAAAATTGAAAACAAAATAACAGCGGTGCCCTTGTCAAAGCAAGAGTCCAGTTCAAGCACGGGCATGGAACGAACATGAAGACTCACATGAGTTAGAGAAGAAAAAATATTCAGAACCAAAGCGTGTGGGCTTGATTTAGAACAGGCGCTAGGGAGCTTAAATGCTACGACTTTTTTTGTTGTCACTTTTTTTAAACGTAAACTTTCCAGGAAACCGGCAACTCGGAATGGACATTTTGGGAGTGGCTTTCCAGGATTGAGGATTGGAGATGACACTCACTCAGGACAACAGTGGAACAGCGTTTTTCGGAATCAATGTCTTTGAAACTCGGCTCAAAGGGAGACCATCGTTTAGATTGAGATCAGCTCCAGACGACCAGCTGTCAGGATCAGTCTTGAGACTGAGATCCAGGAGACTGGATGTCAGGATCAGTGGCTTGAGACTCGGTCCCAGTCTGGCTTCTGTGTGGGTGATGGGTGTACTGACAATGTAGGCGATCGTGACTGATGCTGCAGGTGTGAGCGACGCTGCGGGTGGTTGGTGGAGGTGTGAGTGGTGACGTCAGTGTGAGTGGTGGTTGGTGGAGTTGTGAGTGGTGGTGAGTGGAGGTGTAAGTGGTGACGTAAGTGTGTGTGGTGGTGAGTGGAGGTGTGAGTGGTGACGTCAGTGTGTGTGCTGGTGAGTAGAGGTGTGAGTGGTGACGTCAGTGTGTGTGGTGGTGAGTGATGACGTCAGTGTGTGTGCTGGTCAGTGGAGGTGTGAGTGGTGACGTCAGTGTGTGTGCTGGTGAGTAGAGGTGTGAGTGGTGACGTCAGTGTGTGTGGTGGTGAGTGGAGGTGTGAGTGGTGACGCCAGTGTGAGTGGTGGTGAGTGGGGGTGTGAGTGGTGACGTCAGTGTGTGTGGTGGTGAGTGGTGACGTCAGTGTGTGCTGGTTAGTGGAGGTGAGTGGTGACGTCAGTGTGTGTGCTGGTGAGTGGAGGTGAGTGGTGACGTCAGTGTGTGTGGTGGTCAGTGGAGGTGAGTGGTGACGTCAGTGTGTGTGCTGGTCAGTGGAGGTGTGAGTGGTGACGTCAGTGTGTGTGGTGGTGAGTGGTGACGTCAGTGTGTGTGGTGGTCAGTGGAGGTGTGAGTGGTGACGTCAGTGTGTGTGGTTGTGAGTGGTGACGTCAGTGTGTGTGGTGGTTAGTGGAGGTGTGAGTGGTGACGTCAGTGTGTGGTGGTGAGTGGTGACGTCAGTGTGTGTGGTGGTCAGTGGAGGTGTGAGTGGTGACGTCAGTGTGTGTGGTGGTGAGTGATGACGTCAGTGTGTGTGCTGGTCAGTGGAGGTGTGAGTGGTGACGTCAGTGTGTGTGCTGGTGAGTAGAGGTGTGAGTGGTGACGTCAGTGTGTGTGGTGGTGAGTGGAGGTGTGAGTGGTGACGCCAGTGTGAGTGGTGGTGAGTGGGGGTGTGAGTGGTGACGTCAGTGTGTGTGGTGGTGAGTGGTGACGTCAGTGTGTGCTGGTTAGTGGAGGTGAGTGGTGACGTCAGTGTGTGTGGTGGTCAGTGGAGGTGAGTGGTGACGTCAGTGTGTGTGCTGGTCAGTGGAGGTGTGAGTGGTGACGTCAGTGTGTGTGGTGGTGAGTGGTGACGTCAGTGTGTGGTGGTCAGTGGAGGTGTGAGTGGTGACGTCAGTGTGTGTGGTTGTGAGTGGTGACGTCAGTGTGTGTGGTGGTTAGTGGAGGTGTGAGTGGTGACGTCAGTGTGTGGTGGTGAGTGGTGACGTCAGTGTGTGTGGTGGTCAGTGGAGGTGTGAGTGGTGACGTCAGTGTGTGTGGTGGTGAGTGGTGACGTCAGTGTGTGTGGTGATGAGTGGAGGTGTGAGTGGTGACGTCAGTGTGTGTGGTGGTGAGTGGTGACGTCAGTGTGTGTGGTGGTGAGTGGAGGTGTGAGTGGTGACGTCAGTGTGTGTGGTGGTGAGTGGAGGTGCGAGTGGTGACGTCAGTGTGTGTGGTGGTGAGTGGTGACGTCAGTGTGAGTGGTGACGTCAGTGTGTATGGTGGTGAGTGGTGACGTCAGTGTGTGTGGTAGTGAGTGGAGGTGTGAGTGGTGACGTCAGTGTGTGTGGTGGTGAGTGGTGACGTCAGTGTGTGTGCTGGTCAGTGGAGGTGTGAGTGGTGACGTCAGTGTGTGTGGTGGTGAGTGGTGACGTCAGTGTGTGTGGTGGTGAGTGGAGGTGTGAGTGGTGACGTCAGTGTGTGTGGTGGTGAGTGGTGACGTCAGTGTGTGTGCTGGTCAGTGGAGGTGTGAGTGGTGACGTCAGTGTGTGTGCTGGTCAGTGGAGGTGTGAGTGGTGACGTCAGTGTGTGTGGTGGTGAGTGGTGACGTCAGTGTGTGTGCTGGTCAGTGGAGGTGTGAGTGGTGACGTCAGTGTGAGTGGTGGTGAGTGGAGGTGTGAGTGGTGACGTCAGTGTGTGTGGTGGTGAGTGGTGACGTCAGTGTGTGTGCTGGTCAGTGGAGGTGTGAGTGGTGACGTCAGTGTGTGTGGTGGTGAGTGGTGACGTCAGTGTGTGTGGTGGTCAGTGGAGGTGTGAGTGGTGACGTCAGTGTGTGTGGTGGTCAGTGGAGGTGTGAGTGGTGACGTCAGTGTGAGTGGTGGTGAGTGGAGGTGTGAGTGGTGACGTCAGTGTGTGTGGTGGTGAGTGGTCACGTCAGTGTGTGTGGTGGTTAGTGGAGGTGTGAGTGGTGACGTCAGTGTGTGGTGGTGAGTGGTGACGTCAGTGTGTGTGCTGGTCAGTGGAGGTGTGAGTGGTGACGTCAGTGTGTGTGGTGGTGAGTGGTCACGTCAGTGTGTGTGGTGGTTAGTGGAGGTGTGAGTGGTGACGTCAGTGTGTGTGGTGGTGAGTGGAGGTGTGAGTGGTGACGTCAGTGTGTGTGGTGGTGAGTGGAGGTGTGAGTGGTGGTGAGTGATGGTGTGTGTGGTGGTAAGTGGTGGTGGTGAGTGGTGACGTCAGTGTGTGTGGTGGTGAGTGGTGACGTCAGTGTGTGTGGTGGTTAGTGGAGGTGTGAGTGGTGACGTCAATGTGTGTGGTGGTGAGTGGAGGTGTGAGTGGTGGTGAGTGATGGTGTGTGTGGTGGTGAGTGGTGGTGGTGAGTGGTGACGTCAGTGTGTGTGCTGGTCAGTGGAGGTGTGTGCGACGGGGGGTGTGATCGTGAACACGTGGATGCGAAGGTGCTTGGAAATCTGATGGCAAACAGCGACACAGTAGCACAGCAGGTCACTCATGGACAACACCTGAAAGAAAAACAGAAACAGAATCTTAATTTATGCTGGAGGAATCCGATGAGCTATAAAGCTCTTTGTCACAGATGTTCAGTAGGGGCAAGGGGTCAGAACATTACAACAAACACAACAAAAACACATGATTGGAGTGCAAAGTACATGAAAGCTAAACAAATCCCTTAAAATAAAACTAAACTTTTTACTTTACCAGATGGAGCAGGTCGCTTCTTTTTCAGAAGCAACTTGCTCACTTATCACAAATGATAGCTCAACGCAGTGGATTTGCATTGTGTGGAAATGCATAGCAGTCAAAATAAGTCTGAATGCCACCGTGATGCCTTAGGAGGCCCCTTGAAGGGTGGGGAAAGGGTTCGGGATGGGTGTGGGGTGGGTGTTGGTGATGGTTGTGGTGGTGGTGGTTGTCGTGGTGATTGTAGGGTGGAGCGGTAGTGTAGTGGTTATTGTGCTGCGCTATGAACCCGGAGGCCCGAGTTCAATTCCCGTTGACGGCCAACACCAAGAACGAAAATTAGAACCAGGGGTCGGCTCAGCCTCGAATGAGCACCTGGTGTAGCGGTGTGTAGTAAACATCACCACTGGGGAGACAAAGGCGGCCGGGTGTGGTGCTGGCCACCCACCCCCTCGTGTGCCGTTCCGGCCTTCATAAGTGCTCGCTAACAGCACTTGCCCCGACAGTCTGTTACAGGCTATATGGGGATCTCTGTCTTTGGTGGTGATTGTGGTGGTGGTTGCTTTCGTGACGTTATTTATTAAAGCTCCGTCTCACGTTGCATTGCGGTTGTCGAAACATTGAGGTTTTTTGTTTTACAAATTTGCAACAACAACAACAACAAAAACTACTACTAGGCTCCTCTCGTCATTTTCGTTTGCCGGACCGCCCGTCCATGTCCATAACAACGCTCCTAGAACGAAACAAACCCGAGTTACTCACCAGTGCAATCCAGAGTACCGTAAACTCATCGACAAAGCAGTTGCAGTACTGGTTGAGGAAGAGGAGGCCTGGCCCCAGGAACGCCGTGTCTTGCAGGAACATCTCACTGCGCGTCATGTGAGCCACCTGCCATGTGGAACAAAAGACAAAGATCCCCCGTGTAGCCTTAACAGACTGTCGGGGCAAGTGCTGTTAGCGAGCAGCACCTGTGAAGGCCAGAACGGCACACGAGGGGGTGGGTGGCCAGCATCACGCCCGGCCGCCTTTGTCTCCCCAGTGGCGATGTTTACACATCGCACCCAGGTACTCATTTGAGGCCGCGTCGACCTAGGGAAGGAGGCCCAGTACCGGTTCAAATAATCGTCACTGGTGTTGGCCGTGAGCGGGAATCGAACTAAGGTCGCCGGGTTCGTAGCGCAGCGCGTTGACAGCTACACTGCCGCTCCCCACATGCGGAGCAACACACACAAGGTTAAGGAGGTCACGGGGACAGAGCCAGGTGTGAGAACAATAATAACAATTTAAATTTGTGACGAAGGTGCGGGAGAGGAACCGCAGCACATGTCCAAACCTGTTCCCTGGGGGTCGGAGATTGGATCACCGTTCTTTCCCCTAATGATGGTAATAGGTGTGGCGCTGCAGGTTACTTTTTTGATGGAATTAAAGAGCGATTTGTGATCGCGGGCCACCGAGGCAGACGCCATCTCCTCAGCAACCGGCGACCACCACCCATCCCTTGCAGCGCCACACGGCTCTCCGAACTTCCGAGCGAAGGCTGCGGTAAGCCTCCTCATTCTCCGACGTGGGATGCTATAGACGGTGGGAGCGGGCTTGTCGCTTTTTCTTAGCCAGCTGGAACACCTCCTCCATCAGCCAGGGTCTTTGGGTAGGTTTGGACCGCATACCCAGAGCAGCCATTGCAGCTGCATGAGTCAGTCCTAAACCTCGCCCATGTCCCGTCGGCATCAGGAGGAGTGGGGGACGATTCCAACCCCAAATACAAGCGATCGCATAAATATATAAATGTGTCGTTAAAACCCGCCACCACCCAACACAGCCAACTAGTAAGGGTTGTCACGTAAACAGAACGTGCCAATTCGTCACTAGTACAGCACTAGTGTGTAGTGTAGTGTATCGTAGTGTATAATGTAGTGTATAATGTAGTGTATAGTGTAGCATACTAGTACAGCCAAGCCACAACATTTACAATCTGAGTCCGACGTTTCGCCAGTAATTAAAACTAGCTTCATCAGGCGACAGCCAGATTTGTGGAGAAGTCTTACTGTTTCGTTCCTTATATAGAGGCGTAGATGTGGTGACCACCCTTCTGTGCTGTTGCACAATGTGGGGGGCATTACTGAGGCAATGTACATGATGCATGTGCATTATGCGAGCCCTTTGAACTTGTCCTTCCTATTTTGTGTTTATTAAAATAGCCCTACCAATTATTGAAGTACGCTGCTCTTTGTAGGCATGCAGCTAGCGAAGACCAGGCCACTGTGAGGTTGAATGGGGTCCTAGATGGACACCCACCACCGGAGTGGAAGAATGGCAGGGGCATCTTACAGATGATAAGCCGATGGTCAGTGGGCGGATGAGCTCCATGGTATATTCTAGTGACAAGGACACTATCCGCTGTTCCGTCACTATACAGGTAGTCCCCGAGTTACGACGGTCCCCGAGTTACGACGGTCCCCGAGTTACGGTGGTCCGACTTACGATATTTCGATCTTACGATAGCGATACGACTAAATTGTTAAATATTTAAAATTTCGCGCGGCAGGCAAAAGCAGCAGCGAACGATACGTTCAATGCATGTGTAAAGTTTTTTTTTTTTATAGCAGATAGGATTGTTTCCTGAAAAAACTTTTTATTACATTGCAGTTCATATAGGTAGGCTAAGAATTTACCTTGTTTTTACTTTACATTTTACTGTGTAATACAGTATTGTAATTAATAAATAATACAGTATATAGTTTATACAGTACGGTACTGCAAATGTTTCTGTTTTGCTAAATTATCACCATTCTTTAAGACTCCCGGGTAGGCTAAGGCCATCTTCGACTTACGATATTTTTGACTTACGATGGGGTCGTCGTAACGTATCTCCATCGTAAGTAGAGGACTGCCTGTATAGTCTAGCAGATGTTCTTGCTTGGACCCGGTGGGCATCCATGATCTGTGGATGTGTAGGGACGTGAGTACCGTCTCTACGGCGTATAAGCCGACTACTACAACCACAACTGGTAAGTAAAGGAGTGTGCATGCACCCCTCCATGGGGCCGACGGAGACGTGGCGGGGAAGCAGGCCCTACAGAGCAGGGTCCCGTCCCAAAGAGAGATAGAGAGGGGGACGTGCTGACATGGAGTGGTGAAGGGGGCCCAGAGGACACGTGACGCTGGCTCCGGTTCCGTCGCGAGAGACCGAGGAAGGGGCGTGGCCGGAGGCGGAGCAAGGCCACGCTCGGATCGATAAGAGGGACGGAGGCGGAGCTAGGCCACGCTCGGATCGATAAGAGGGACGGAGGCGGAGCTAGGCCACGCTCGGATCGATAAGAGGGACGGAGGCGGAGTGAGGCCACGCTCGGATCGATAAGAGGGACGGAGGCGGAGCGAGGCCACGCTCGGATCGATAAGAGGGACGGAGGCGGAGCGAGGCCACGCTCGGATCGATAAGAGGGACGGAGGCGGAGCCATCGTGGTTGTCTGGCGGGAACAGCTTACCGTGCAGGGTTGCTTCAGGGTTGTCGGGGACTCAGTTTACATAGAGAGACCCCTTTGGGGGTCTAGGATAACACCGAGTTTTGTTAACCCGTAGCCCTGTTCAGTTTGTTTAATAAATCGTGGTGCCCCCAGGCTTCTGTGTGTGCCTCGTGAGACGCACACTACAGATGCGCCGATGCCTGAACAGTCTAGCAGCCTCTTACCGTTATTATTGAGTTGATCTGACCCAGCCCAGGTGCCAGCGTCATGACCAACTCGGGCAGAAAAGTCACCCAACAGGATGACTCTATCCCGAGGGGACACTTTAGCGAGCACCTGTGACAGGAGGTCATATAAAGTATCTGACTCATCGGCCTTGCCTGCATCCCTCCACTGATATTCATCTTCGGTGGGGGCATAAGTAACCACCACCATTCCTCGCCTCCCGTTAATGGAGAGGCGAGCCCACAGTAGCCTGGGGCTTACAGCTTCGTACACCTCACCGCCACGCTCCCACGCCCCTTCATTCTTTTGTTCAGAAGAAGAGCCAATCCTGCTTGTTTAGCAGTCTCTTGGCTCGAGTGGAGGACTCTCCATCCCTCATGGTAGCAGGAATCAGAGCCAGTCCACTGGACCTCCTGAATACCGCAGAGATTCAGGCAGTACCGGTCCAGCTCCCGACAGAGGAGTGGCAGCCTCTCCTCTGCAGCGAGCGTTACCATCAAGGAGATAAGGGGTTGTTTTGCCGAACATACATACAGTATAACACATCGGTATCCATACTCAGACACCCACAGATTACCACGGCTGGCTACGTACGGTGCGAAAGAAGTTCAACACACACACATGAAGAGACCCACAGACACCAGACCCACAAAAGCCCACAGAGACCCACAGATCAGCACGGCTGGCTACATATGGTGCGAAGTAAGTTCGACAGACACATACGCACGCGCGTACCACGAGCTTGTTGGTGATCTTGGCGGCCACACAGCCGAACGTGAGGATGTAGAGGCACGGGTTGCGCTCAAAAAGACTCGACGGAGACTTCTTGGCGATCATGGCGGCCAGCACGACCACGGTGCCGATATGGAACGCGGGCGAGATCACACTGGTGCCCTGGGCGACAAAACACACAAAGACAAAAATCCCCCCACCCCGCCGTGTATAGCCTTCGACAGACTGCTGGGAGAAAAGTTATGTGAAGCGAGCAGCATCCATTAAGAATGGTGTGCGTGTGTGGGCACCTGCCTGTGCATGTGTGTGTGTTTGGGGAGCGGTGGCGCAGTGGTTAGCGCTACGCTGCACTACGATCCCAGCGACCCGAGTTTGATTCCCGCTCACGGCCACCAACAGCAGTGAGGATTATCTGAACCGGTTCTGGGCCACTTCTACGTCGACTCGGCATCAAATGGTATATTCTGGTGCAGTTTGTAATAGGTACTCGCTAACAGAACTTGCCCCAACAGTCTGTTAAGGCTAGACAGGGGATCTTTGTTTTTTGTGCGAGTACCTGTGTCTGTGTACGTGTCTGTGTGTGTGTGTGTGCATTAGTTGGCACAGCAGGGGGCACAGGTGGTGCATCAGCCAGTCATCTCGGTCATCTCAGTCAGTCGACCCGTGGCACCTGGGTCTGCCCCGTGACCTCCTGCCAGCGGGCGTTCGACACTTCAAGCGGCCTCAAGGTGCACATGGCCTGGCACAAGCGTTGTGGTGACGTCACCGCTACTTAGTGGCGAATGGCGGTTGTTGTTGTTGTTGTCCGTGTGTGAGAGTACCTTGAGCAGCTGTGCCTGCGTACAGGTTTGTGTGTGCATGTGCGGGCACCTGTCTGTGCGCATGTGCGTCTGTCTGCGTGTGTGTGCGATGTACCTGCATCTGTGTGCGTGTGTGTGCGATGTACCTGCATCTGTGTGCGTGTGTGTGCGATGTACCTGCATCTGTCTGCGTGTGTGTGCGCGATGTACCTGCATCTGTGTGCGTGTGTGTGCGATGTACCTGCATCTGTCTGCGTGTGTGTGCGCGATGTACCTGCATCTGTGTGCGTGTGCGACGGCTCACCGCGATGGTGGAGCCGTTCTTGCCGACGCCGCCGGTGAAGATAATTCGGAAGTTGGTGATGCAGGTGAAGAAGGAGGCGAGCACCTCGAGCAGCACAGGCACCAGCTTGAGACGCATGTCCAGCACGGGCACCTACACACGCACACACGCGGGCACACGCGCACACACGCGCACACACACACGCACATAAAGACAAAGACACCCCGTATAACCTTCACCAGACCGTCGGGGCAAGTGCCGTTCACGACTGCCGAAGAAGGCCAGCACGCCACATGAGGGGAGTGAGTGGCAAGCACCACGCCCGGTCGCCTTTGTCGCCTTGGTGGCGATGTTTTACGCATTGCACTGGGTACTCATTTAGGGCCGAGTCAACCGAGGGGAGGCGAGTGACTGTGTGAGCAAGTGACTGTGTGTGTGAGTGACTGTGTGAGTGACTGTGTGTGTGAGTGATTGTGTGAGTGAGTGACTGTGTGAGTGAGTGACTGTGTGAGTGAGTGAATGTGTGTGAGTGACTGTGTGAGCGAGTGACTGTGTGAGTGAGTGACTGAGTGAGCGGGTGACTGTGTGAGTGACTGTGTGTGTGAGTGGCTGTGTGTGTGAGTGACTGTGTGAGTGAGTGACTGTGTGAGTGACTGTGTGTGTGAGTGACTGTGTGAGTGAGTGACTGTGTGAGTGAGTGACTGTGTGAGTGAGTGACTGTGTGAGTGAGTGACTGTGTGTGTGAGTGACTGTGTGAGCGAGTGACTGTGTGAGTGACTGGGTGAGTGAGTGACTGGGTGAGTGAGTGACTGTGTGAGTGAGCGACTGGTTGACTGAGTGAGCGACTGGGTGATTGAGTGACTGTGTGAGCGACTGTGTGAGCGACTGTGTGAGCAAGTGACTGTGTGTGCGAGTGACTGTGTGAGTGACTGTGTGTGTGAGTGATTGTGTGAGTGAGTGACTGTGTGAGTGAGTGACTGTGTGAGTGACTGTGTGTGTGAGTGACTGTGTGAGTGAGTGACTGTGTGTGAGTGACTGTGTGAGCGAGTGACTGTGTGAGCGAGTGACTGAGTGAGCGAGTGACTGTGTGAGTGACTGTGTGTGTGAGTGGCTGTGTGTGTGAGTGACTGTGTGAGTGACTGTGTGTGTGAGTGACTGTGTGAGTGAGTGACTGTGTGTGTGAGTGACTGTGTGAGTGAGTGACTGTGTGAGTGAGTGACTGTGTGAGTGAGTGACTGTGTGTGTGAGTGACTGTGTGAGCGAGTGACTGTGTGAGTGACTGGGTGAGTGAGTGACTGGGTGAGTGAGTGACTGTGTGAGTGAGCGACTGGTTGACTGAGTGAGCGACTGGGTGATTGAGTGACTGTGTGAGCGACTGTGTGAGTGAGTGACTGTGTGAGTGACTGTGTGAGTGAGTGTGTGAGTGTGTGAGTGACTGGGTGAGTGAGCGAGTGACTGGGTGAGTGAGTGAATGTGTGATTGACTGGGTGAGTGACTGGGTGAGTGAGCAAGCGACTGGGTGAGTGAGTGACTGTGTGATTGACTGGGTGAGTGAGTGACTGTGTGAGTGACTGCGTGAGTGACTGGATGAGTGAGCGAGCGACTGGGTGAGTAAGTGATTGTGTGAGTGACTGGGTGAGTGACTGGATGAGTGAGCGAGCGACTGGGTGAGTGAGTGACTGTGTGAGTGACTGGGTGAGTGACTGGGTGAGTGACTGGATGAGTGAGCGACCGACTGGGTGAGTGAGTGACTGTGTGAGTGACTGGGTGAGTGACTGGATGAGTGAGCGACTGGGTGAGTGAGTGACTGGGTGAGTGAGTGACTTTGTGAGTGACTGGGTGAGTGAGCGAGCAACTGGGTGAGTGAGTGACTGGGTAAGTGACTGGGTGAGCGAGTGACTGTGTGAGTGACTGGGTGAGTGAGTAACTGTGTGAGCGAGTGACTGTGTGAGCGAGTGACTGTGTGAGTGACTGGGTTAGCGAGTGACTGTGTGAGTGACTGGGTGAGTAAGTGACTGTGTGAGTGACTGGGTGAGTGACTGGATGAGTGAGCGACTGGGTGAGTGAGTGACTGTGTGAGCCACTGGGTGAGTGAGTGACTGTGTGAGTGACTGGGTGAGTGAGTGGCTTTGTGAGTGACTGGGTGAGTGAGCAAGCGACTGGGTGAGTGAGTGACTGGGTGAGTGACTGGATGAGTGAGCGAGCGACTGGGTGAGTGAGTGACTGTGTGAGTGACTGGGTGAGTGACTGGATGAGTGAGCGAGCGACTGGGGTGAGTGAGTGACTGCGTGATTGACTGGGTTAGTGAGTGACTGTGTGAGTGACTGGGTGAGTGAGTGAGCGACTGGGTGAGTGAGTGACTGTGTGAGTGACTGGGTGATTGAGTGACTGGGTGAGTGATTGGGTGAGTGACTGGGTGAGTGACTGGGTGAGTGAGCGAGCAACTGGGTGAGTGACTGTGTGAGTAACTGGGTCAGCAAGTGACTGTGTGAGTGACTGGGTGAGTGACTGGTTGAGTGAGCGAGTGACTGGGTGAGTGAGTGACTGTGAGTGACTGTGTGAGTGACTGGGTGAGTGAGCGAGCGTCTGGGTGAGTGAATGACTGTGTGAGTGACTGGGTGAGTGACTGGGTGAGTGAGCGAGCGACTGTGAGCGAGTGACTGTGTGATTGACTGGGTGAGTGAGTGACTGTGTGATTGACTGGGTGAGTGAGTGACTGGGTGAGTGACTCTGTGAGTGACTGTGTGAGTGACTGGGTGAGTGACTGGGTGAGTGAGCGAGCGAATGGGTGAGTGAGCGAGCATCTGGGTGAGTGAGCGACTGTGTGAGTGACTGGGTGAGTGACTGGGTGAGTGACTGGTGTTAGTGAGCGAGTGACTGTATGAGTAACTGTGTGAGTGACTGTGTGATTGACTGGGTGAGTGACTGGGTGAGTGGGCGAGCGACTGGGTGAGTGAGCGAGCGTCTGGGTGAGTGAGCGAGCATCTGGGTGAGTGAGCACTGTGTGAGTGACTGGGTGAATGACTGGGTGAGTGACTGTGTGAGTGACTGGGTGAGTGACTATGTGAGTGACTGTGTGAGTGACTGTGTGAGTGACTATGTGAGTGACTGTGTGAGTGAGTGTGTGAGTGTGTGAGTGACTGGGTGAGTGAGCGAGTGACTGGGTGAGTGAGTGAATGTGTGATTGACTGGGTGAGTGACTGGGTGAGTGAGCAAGCGACTGGGTGAGTGAGTGACTGTGTGATTGACTGGGTGAGTGAGTGACTGTGTGAGTGACTGGGTGAGTGACTGGATGAGTGAGCGAGCGACTGGGTGAGTAAGTGATTGTGTGAGTGACTGGGTGAGTGACTGGATGAGTGAGCGAGCGACTGGGTGAGTGAGTGACTGTGTGAGTGACTGGGTGAGTGACTGGGTGAGTGACTGGATGAGTGAGCGACCGACTGGGTGAGTGAGTGACTGTGTGAGTGACTGGGTGAGTGACTGGATGAGTGAGCGACTGGGTGAGTGAGTGACTGGGTGAGTGAGTGACTTTGTGAGTGACTGGGTGAGTGAGCGAGCAACTGGGTGAGTGAGTGACTGGGTAAGTGACTGGGTGAGCGAGTGACTGTGTGAGTGACTGGGTGAGTGAGTGACTGTGTGAGCGAGTGACTGTGTGAGCGAGTGACTGTGTGAGTGACTGGGTTAGCGAGTGACTGTGTGAGTGACTGGGTGAGTAAGTGACTGTGTGAGTGACTGGGTGAGTGACTGGATGAGTGAGCGACTGGGTGAGTGAGTGACTGTGTGAGCCACTGGGTGAGTGAGTGACTGTGTGAGTGACTGGGTGAGTGAGCAAGCGACTGGGTGAGTGAGTGACTGGGTGAGTGACTGGATGAGTGAGCGAGCGACTGGGTGAGTGAGTGACTGTGTGAGTGACTGGGTGAGTGACTGGATGAGTGAGCGAGCGACTGGGGTGAGTGAGTGACTGTGTGAGTGACTGGGTGAGTGACTGGGTGAGTGAGCGAGCGAATGGGTGAGTGAGCGAGCATCTGGGTGAGTGAGCGACTGTGTGAGTGACTGGGTGAGTGACTGGGTGAGTGACTGGTGTTAGTGAGCGAGTGACTGTATGAGTAACTGTGTGAGTGACTGTGTGATTGACTGGGTGAGTGACTGGGTGAGTGGGCGAGCGACTGGGTGAGTGAGCAAGCGTCTGGGTGAGTGAGCGAGCATCTGGGTGAGTGAGCACTGTGTGAGTGACTGGGTGAATGACTGGGTGAGTGACTGTGTGAGTGACTGGGTGAGTGACTATGTGAGTGACTGTGTGAGTGACTGTGTGAGTGACTATGTGAGTGACTGTGTGAGTGAGTGTGTGAGTGTGTGAGTGACTGGGTGAGTGAGCGAGTGACTGGGTGAGTGAGTGAATGTGTGATTGACTGGGTGAGTGACTGGGTGAGTGAGCAAGCGACTGGGTGAGTGAGTGACTGTGTGATTGACTGGGTGAGTGAGTGACTGTGTGAGTGACTGGGTGAGTGACTGGATGAGTGAGCGAGCGACTGGGTGAGTGAGTGATTGTGTGAGTGACTGGGTGAGTGACTGGATGAGTGAGCGAGCGACTGGGTGAGTGAGTGACTGTGTGAGTGACTGGGTGAGTGACTGGGTGAGTGACTGGATGAGTGAGCGACCGACTGGGTGAGTGAGTGACTGTGTGAGTGACTGGGTGAGTGACTGGATGAGTGAGCGACTGGGTGAGTGAGTGACTGGGTGAGTGAGTGACTTTGTGAGTGACTGGGTGAGTGAGCGAGCAACTGGGTGAGTGAGTGACTGGGTAAGTGACTGGGTGAGCGAGTGACTGTGTGAGTGACTGGGTGAGTGAGTGACTGTGTGAGCGAGTGACTGTGTGAGCGAGTGACTGTGTGAGCGAGTGACTGTGTGAGTGACTGGGTTAGCGAGTGACTGTGTGAGTGACTGGGTGAGTAAGTGACTGGGTGAGTGACTGGATGAGTGAGCGACTGGGTGAGTGAGTGACTGTGTGAGCCACTGGGTGAGTGAGTGACTGTGTGAGTGACTGGGTGAGTGAGTGGCTTTGTGAGTGACTGGGTGAGTGAGCAAGCGACTGGGTGAGTGAGTGACTGGGTGAGTGACTGGATGAGTGAGCGAGCGACTGGGTGAGTGAGTGACTGTGTGAGTGACTGGGTGAGTGACTGGATGAGTGAGCGAGCGACTGGGGTGAGTGAGTGACTGCGTGATTGACTGGGTTAGTGAGTGACTGTGTGAGTGACTGGGTGAGTGAGTGAGCGACTGGGTGAGTGAGTGACTGTGTGAGTGACTGGGTGATTGAGTGATTGGGTGAGTGACTGGGTGAGTGACTGGGTGAGTGAGCGAGCAACTGGGTGAGTGACTGTGTGAGTAACTGGGTCAGCAAGTGACTGTGTGAGTGACTGGGTGAGTGACTGGTTGAGTGAGCGAGTGACTGGGTGAGTGAGTGACTGTGAGTGACTGTGTGAGTGACTGGATGAGTGAGCGAGCGTCTGGGTGAGTGAATGACTGTGTGAGTGACTGGGTGAGTGACTGGGTGAGTGAGCGAGCGACTGTGAGCGAGTGACTGTGTGATTGACTGGGTGAGTGAGTGACTGTGTGATTGACTGGGTGAGTGAGTGACTGGGTGAGTGACTCTGTGAGTGACTGTGTGAGTGACTGGGTGAGTGACTGGGTGAGTGAGCGAGCGAATGGGTGAGTGAGCGAGCATCTGGGTGAGTGAGCGACTGTGTGAGTGACTGGGTGAGTGACTGGGTGAGTGACTGGTGTTAGTGAGCGAGTGACTGTATGAGTAACTGTGTGAGTGACTGTGTGATTGACTGGTTGAGTGACTGGGTGAGTGGGCGAGCGACTGGGTGAGTGAGCGAGCGTCTGGGTGAGTGAGCGAGCATCTGGGTGAGTGAGCACTGTGTGAGTGACTGGGTGAATGACTGGGTGAGTGACTGTGTGAGTGACTGGGTGAGTGACTATGTGAGTGACTGTGTGAGTGACTGTGTGAGTGACTATGTGAGTGACTGTGTGAGTGACTGGGTGAGTGACTGTGTGAGTGACTGGGTGAGTGACTGGGTGAGTGACTGGGTGAGTGAACGTCTGGTTGAGTGAGTGACTGTGTGAGTAACTGGGTGAGTGGCTGTGTGAGTGACTGTGTGAGTGACTGGGTGAGTGACTGTGAGCGAGTGACTGTGTGAGTGACTGTGTGAGTGACTGGGTGAGTGACTGTGAGTGACTGGGTGAGTGACTGGGTGATTGAGCGAGCGACTGGGTGAGTGAGCGAGCGTCTGGGTGAGTGAGCGACTGTGAGCGAGTGACTATGTAAGTGACTGTGTGAGTGACTATGTGAGTGACTGGGTGAGTGACTGTGTGAGTGACTGTGTGAGGGACTGTGTGAGTGACTGTGTGAGTGACTGGATGAGTGACTGTGTGAGTGACTGTGTGAGTGACTGTGTGAGTGACTGTGAGTAACTGTGTGAGTGACTGTGTGAGTGAGCGAGCGACTGGTTGAGTGAGTAACTGTGTGAGTGACTCTGTGAGTGACTGTGTGAGTAACTTGGTGAGTGACTGTGTGAGTGACTGTGTGAGTGAGCGTCTGTTTGAGTGAGTGACTGTGTGAGTGACTGTGTGAGTGACTGTGTGAGTGACTGTGAGTAACTGTGTGAGTGACTGTGTGAGTGAGCGAGCGACTGGTTGAGTGAGTGACTGTGTGAGTGACTGTGTGAGTGACTGTGTAAGTGACTGTGTAAGTGACTGGGTGAGTGACTGTGTGAGTGACTGGGTGAGTGACTGTGTGAGTGACTGTGTGAGTGACTGTGTGAGTGACTGTGTGTGTAACTGTGTGAGTGACTGTGTGAGTGACTGGTGTGAGTGACTGTGAGAGTGACTGTGAGTGAGTGACTGTGTGAGTGACTGTGTGAGTGACTGTGTGAGTGACTTTGTGAGTGACTGTGTAAGTGACTGTGTGAGTGACTGTGTGAGTGACTGTGTGTGAGTGACTGTGAGTGAGTGACTATGTGAGTAACTGGGTGAGTGACTGTGAGTGACTGGGTGAGTGACTGGGTGATTGAGCGAGCGACTGGGTGAGTGAGCGAGCGTCTGGGTGAGTGAGCGACTGTGAGCGAGTGACTATGTAAGTGACTGTGTGAGTGACTATGTGAGTGACTGGGTGAGTGACTGTGTGAGTGACTGTGTGAGGGACTGTGTGAGTGACTGTGTGAGTGACTGGATGAGTGACTGTGTGAGTGACTGTGTGAGTGACTGTGTGAGTGACTGTGAGTAACTGTGTGAGTGACTGTGTGAGTGAGCGAGCGACTGGTTGAGTGAGTAACTGTGTGAGTGACTCTGTGAGTGACTGTGTGAGTAACTTGGTGAGTGACTGTGTGAGTGACTGTGTGAGTGAGCGTCTGTTTGAGTGAGTGACTGTGTGAGTGACTGTGTGAGTGACTGTGTGAGTGACTGTGAGTAACTGTGTGAGTGACTGTGTGAGTGAGCGAGCGACTGGTTGAGTGAGTGACTGTGTGAGTGACTGTGTGAGTGACTGTGTAAGTGACTGTGTAAGTGACTGGGTGAGTGACTGTGTGAGTGACTGGGTGAGTGACTGTGTGAGTGACTGTGTGAGTGACTGTGTGAGTGACTGTGTGTGTAACTGTGTGAGTGACTGTGTGAGTGACTGGTGTGAGTGACTGTGAGAGTGACTGTGAGTGAGTGACTGTGTGAGTGACTGTGTGAGTGACTGTGTGAGTGACTTTGTGAGTGACTGTGTAAGTGACTGTGTGAGTGACTGTGTGAGTGACTGTGTGTGAGTGACTGTGAGTGAGTGACTATGTGAGTAACTGGGTGAGTGACTGTGTGAGTGACTGTGTGAGTGACTGTGTGAGTGACTGTGTGAGTGACTGTGTGAGTGAGCGAGCGACTGGGCGAGCGCCGTACACGGTGGTCCCACACGTCAGGCCCACAAGCGGCAGCCAGGAGGAAGATGCCCACAATGACGAGCTGCACCTCCGTCACGTCGATCCTGCGTGCACACACACGCACGCAACAACAACCCCCACACGCATCCTGAAGCCAGAAAGTCAGCATTCAGGACCAGACTCGCAGCCTCCGGCAGTCAAATTCTAAACCCTGACCCCAGTCTGCACAGGTAAACTGCTTCTTGTTGTTGTGTTTAGTTTGATGTCCTTCACCCCCCACCCAGCCACACCTCCCATTAGTGCAGTTGGCGACGTACGGTGCGAAAGAAGTTCAATGTACAAATTACTATACACTGCACTATACACTGCTACACTTTACACTACTGCACACCACACTACTACACATTACTATACATTGCACTGCTACACTATACACTGAACCACTCTACTACATTGAGAACTTATTTCTTTAGAACTGCTTCATGCGATTAGCTTGTTGTGCTTACTTCTGCACCTCCAATTGGCGTAGTTGGCAACAAGCGTATGAGCATGGGTCTCTATGGGTCTCTACGGGTCTCTATGGGTCTCTATGGGACTCTATGGGTCTCTATGGGACTCTATGGGTTTCTACGGGTCTCTATGGGTCTCTACGGGTCTCTATGGGTCTCTACGGGTCTCTATGGGTCTCTACGGGTCTCTACGGGTCTCTATGGGTCTCTACAGGTCTCTACGGGTCTCTACGGGTCTCTATGGGTCTCTACAGGTCTCTACGGGTCTCTACGGGTCTCCTGTGTGTTTCTGTTGTTGTTGTTGGTTGCATTGTGCGTCTCTCCACATCGACGTGGCAGAGCTGCACACTAAACAAAATTAAGCTAAAAACTTTTTTTATTTTGTTGCTAGGTACAAGGCCCCACTGAGCTCGTTTGCAGAAGCGACTCTGGCTGCCACAGATGCAAGCAGCTCAACAAAGTGGGAACATTATAATCATTATTATTATCATTATTATTATCATCATTATTATCATCATTATTATCATCATTATTATCATCATTATTATCATCATTATCATCATCATTATCATCATCATTATTATCATCATTATTATCATCATTATTATCATCATCATCATTATCATCATTATTATCATCATTATTATCACCGTTATCATCATCATTATCATCATTATCATCATCATTATTATTATCATCATTATCATTATTATCATCATCATTATTATCATCATTATTATCATTATCATCATCATTATTATCATCATTATCATTATCATCATCATCATTATCATCATTATCATCATCATTATCATCATCATTATTATCATCATTATTATCATCATTATTATCATCATCATCAATCATCATTATCATCATTATTATCATCATTATCATCATTATCATCATTACATCATCATTATTATCATAATTATCATTATTATTATCATCATTATCATCATTATTATCATCATCATTATCATCATTACCATCATCATTATCATCATCATTATCATCATCGCGTGTAAATTTGCCACAGCCAAATACTATGAACGCGCGTTTCTACATTTGGAGTCAAAAATCGGAGGGCCTGGATAAAAATCGACATGACCACGGGGAGGGAGAAACGCAAACTCCAAAAATACGGCTGGCGTCAGGGTCGTGATCAAGCCCATGACCTTCTGTATACCAGGCGAGGTAGTTAACAGCACGTAGCCGCAGGCTTCCTGAAGCCAGAACTCAGCATTAAATAATCTCCTGCAGTGAAATCCTAACTCCAGTCCGCAGAGAGACAGTCGGTTGTCCATTATCCGGCGGCTTCGGGGGGGAAGGAGGTGCCAGAATTTTAAAAACGCCAGATAATCACTAAATCATCATTCTGTAAAATAGCTTATTTTTGCACTTTCTTGCGTAACATTATGTTTTAGTTGTTGTGTATCTGAGAATAGATTTTGCTGCCAGATAAAAGGGGAAAAAACCTGTGTTAAGTTGTTAAAACACCAAACTGAAACCTTTTACAAGGAATCATGTCTGCATTAACCACAATACTTGTGGTCTAAATTCAAACAAAAACACACTAATCTTGGTTCTTTCGGTAAAGTCACCACGTAGAAGGAAAACAATAAAATAATAAAAATATAAAACAATAAAATTATCACGATGTTTCGACTGCAACACAAGCAATCCACAGCAAGAAAATTTGAAAAAAGTGATGATGATGATTGGTTGTGTTGCAGTCGAAACGTCGTGAGAATTTTATTGTTTTATATTTTTATTATTTTATTGTTTCCCTTCTACGTGGTGGTGACTTTACCGAAAGAACCAAGAATATGAATCCCTGCAGTCACGAAAGCTTTAAATAAATAAAAAACGTACTACGATAATATATGCATTGTCTTTGACACCGATTGGTCCACACCAGACTAGAAGCTCTCCCCGCCGGGCACTCGTTAACTTTGATAGTGGCGTTGTCTTTGTGCTGTGAACGCATTTTGGCGTCCTCTGGTCTAACACCGTTTGAGACCAAGCTCAACAGAAAGCTGTCACCCAAAGACATTCCGTAGTGTGACACTCCCCCCCCCCCGCCGTTCCATACCGTATTTAATCAATTATCTTAACTTTAAATCATGTTTAAGATTTTTTTTCACGGCTGCAGCCACACAGAGTTAGACTCACAGAGTTACATAGAGACCAACAGAGTTGCATAGAGACCCACAGAATTACGTAGAGATACACAGAGTTACAGAGACCCATAGAGTTACATAGAGACCCACAGAGTTACATAGAGTTACAGAGAGACCCACAGAGTTACATAGAGACCCACAGAGATACAGAGACCCACAGAGTTACATAGAGACCCACAGAGTTACATAGAGTTATAGAGAGACCCACAGAGTTACATAGAGACCCACAGAGATACATAGAGACCCATAGAGTTACAGAAAGAAAAACAGAGTTGCATAGAGACCCACAGAATTACATAGAGACCCACAGAGTTACATAGAGACCCACAGAGATACATAGAGACCCACAGAGATACAGAGACCCACATAGTTACATAGAGACCCATAGAGATACATAGAGACCCACAGAGTTACATAGAGGCCCACAGAGTTACACAGAGACCAACAGAATTACATAGAGACCCATAGGGTTACATAGAGACCCATAGGGTTACATAGAGACCCACATAATTACATAGAGACCCACAGAGATACATAGAGACCCACAGAATTACATAGAGACCCACAGAGATACGTAGAGACCCACAGAGTTACATAGAGACCCATAGAGTTACATAGAGACCCACAGAGTTACATAGAGACCCACAGAGTTACATAGACAGTTTAACATGTAGGCTTTCGCGACCAATATTATTCATAATAAAGGTTTTTGGGTTAGATCGCGGTATTTATAAATGTGTCGTAACCCTCCACCACCCGACACGGCCAATCAGCAAAAAAAAATGTGTCACGTTGACAAAAGACAAATAATTCACTACTTTAGCCCACCGGTGTGTTGAAGAGTGAATCCACAACATTTACAGTTTGAGTACGACGTTTCGCTGGTAATTACATCCAGCATCATCGGGCAATTCGCCAGAATGGTAAAGCCCTCGCTTGCTCCCGGTCTTAAATAGAGCAGCAGGGTGACGTCATCACTTAACTCATATCAGGTGCAGTGATTAGAGGCGGAGGGGGGGTATTGTAATTATATAATCGATTAGTAATCAGTCATTGGTTATGATTAGTAATGAGTTGTAGATTAGTAATTAGTTGTAATGTGTGTTAGTGATTATATGCTATGTTAGTAATCCGTTAATTAGTATGTGTTTCCCCTATAAGGAATTGTAATGTGCATTCATATTCTTAGCTTCCTCGGCAAAGCCACGCCGAAGGGAAACAACAAAACAACAAACATAGATATTCTATTATTTTATTGCTTCCCCCCAACGCGACTCCACCGAAAGAGCCAAGAACATGAATCACTGTAGTCACGAAAGCTTTAAATCAAAATGTAACGTGTATTATTTAATAATACGCTTCCAGGCTGCACTAAGCCTGTAGCTGTCAGAGCGATTAAAGTTATTCTTATTACTCTCAATTTCAATGGATTTTCTAATTAGTCTTTGCCAGTAATAATTAGTTTTACACACCACTGCAACATTGTCAAAATCAATTGAGTGTCATTGTTGACAAGCATGTTCTGCCACTGCCGACAGTTGTGTTTGAGATAATTTAATATTTCTCTGATGTTCTTTTAGTCTTACGCTGATGTTACGTCCCGTCTGTCCAATGTAGCATCTGCCACATAAACAATTAATCCGATATACACCTTCTGTTGATAATTTAGGAAATGCGTCTTTAGTGCAAGATACTAGTTTTAGAATTGTGTGTACTGTAACATCAGCGTAAGACTAAAAGAACATCAGACAAATATTGAATTATCTCAAACACAACTGTCGGCAGTGGCAGAACATGCTTGTCAACAAGGACACTCAATTGATTTTGACAATGTTGCAGTGTTGTGTAAAACTAATTATTACTGGCAAAGACTAATTAGAGAATCCATTGAAATTGAGAGGAACAAGAATAACTTTAATCGCTCTGACAGCTACAGGCTTAGTGCAGCCTGGAAGCGTATTATTAAATAATACACATTACATTTTGATTTAAAGCTTTCGTGACTGCAGTGATTCATGTTCTTGGCTCTTTCGGTGGAGTCGCATTGGGGGGAAGCAATAAAATAATAGAATATATATGTTTGTTGTTTTGTTGTTTCCCTTCGGCGTGGCTTTGCCGAGGAAGCTAAGAATATGAATGCACATTACAATTCCTTATAAGGGAAACACATACCAATTAACGGATTACTAACATAGCATATAATCACTAACACACATTACAACTAATTACTAATCTACAACTCATTACTAATCATAACCATTGACTGATTACCAATCGATTATATAATTACAATACCCCCCCTCTGCCTCTAATCACTGCACCTGATATGAGTTAAGTGATGACGTCATCCTGCTGCTCTATATAAAACCGGGAGCAAGCGAGGGCTTTACCATTCTGGCGAATTGCCCGATGATGCTGGATGTATTTACCAGCGAAACGTCGTACTCAAACTGTAAATGTTGTGGATTCACTCTTCAACACACCGGTGGGCTAAAGTAGTGAATTATTTGTCTTTTGTCAACGTGACACTTTTTTTTTGCTGATTGGCCGTGTCGGGTGGTGGAGGGTTACGACACATTTATAAATAACGCGATCTAACCCAAAAACCTTTATTATGAAGAGTTACATAGAGACCCATAGAGTTACATAGAGACCCACAGAGATACACAGAGACCCATAGAGTTACATAGAGACTCATAGAGTTACATAGAGACCCACACAGTTACATAGAGACCCACAGGGTTACATAGAGACCCATAGAGTTACATAGAGACCCACACAGTTACATAGAGACCCACAGGGTTACATAGAGACCCACAGAGATACATAGAGACCCACAGAGATACATAGAGACCCATAGACTTACATAGAGACCCATAGAGTTACATAGAGACCCACAGAGTTACATAGAGACCCACAGAGTTACATAGAGACCCATAGAGTTACATAGAGACCCATAGAGTTACATAGAGACACATAGAGATACATAGAGACCCATAGAGTTACACAGAGACCCACAGAGATACATAGAGACCCAACGAGTTACATAGAGACCCACAGAGTTACATAGAGACCCATAGAGTTGCATTGAGACCCATAGAGTTACATAGAGACCCACAGAGATACATAGAGACCCACAGAGTTACATAGAGACCCCTAGAGTTACATAGAGACCCACAGGGTTACATAGACACCCACAGAGTTACACAGAGACCCACAGAGATACATAGAGACCCATAGAGGTAAATAGAGACCCATAGAGTTACATAGAGACCCACAGGGTTACATAGAGACCCATAGAGTTACATAGAGACCCACAGAGTTACATAGAGACCCATAGAGATACATAGAGACCCACAGAGTTACATAGAGACCCATAGAGATACATAGAGACCCACAGAGATACATAGCGACCCACAGAGATACATAGAGACCCACAGAGATACATAGAGACCCATAGACTTACATAGAGACCCATAGAGTTACATAGAGACCCACAGGGTTACATAGAGACCCATAGAGTTACATAGAGACCCACAGAGTTACATAGAGACCCATAGAGATACATAGAGACCCACAGAGTTACATAGAGACCCATAGAGATACATAGAGACCCACAGAGATACATAGCGACCCACAGAGATACATAGAGACCCACAGAGTTCCATAGAGACCCATAGAGTTACATAGAGTCCCACAGAGATACATAGAGACCCACAGAGTTACATAGAGACCCATAGAGATACATAGAGACCCACAGAGATACATAGCGACCCACAGAGATACATAGAGACCCACAGAGTTCCATAGAGACCCATAGAGTTACATAGAGTCCCACAGAGATACATAGAGACCCACAGAGTTACATAGAGACCCATAGAGATACATAGAGACCCACAGAGTTACATAGAGATACATAGCGACCCACAGAGATACATAGAGACCCATAGAGATACTTAGAGACCCATAGTGATACTTAGAGACACATAGAGATACACAGAGATACATAGAGTCCCACAGAGATACATAGAGACCCACAGAGATACATAGAGACCCATAGAGATACATAGAGACCCACAGGGTTACATAGAGACCTACAGAGATACATAGAGACCCATAGAGATACATAGAGACCCATAGAGTTACATAGAGACCCACAGAGATACATAAGACACCCACAGAGTTACATAGAGATACATAGAGTTACATAGAGACCCACAGAGTTACATAGAGACCCATAGAGTTACATAGAGACCCACAGAGATACACAGAGACCCACAGAGTTACATAGAGACCCATAGAGTTACACAGAGACCCACAGAGTTACACAGAGACCCACAGAGTTACATAGAGACCCACAGAGTTACATAGAGACCCATAGAGTTATATAGAGACCCATAGAGTTACATAGAGACCCACAGAGATACATAGAGACCCATAGAGTTACATAGAGACCCATAGAGTTACATAGAGACCCATAGAGTTACATAGAGACCCATAGAGTTACATAGAGACCCACAGAGATACATAGAGACCCACAGAGTTACATAGAGACCCACAGAGTTACATAGAGACCCATAGAGTTACATAGAGACCCATAGAGTTACGTAGAGACCCATAGAGTTACATAGAGACCCACAGGGTTACATAGAGACCCACAGAGACACATAGAGAACCACAGGGTTACATACAGACCCATAGAGTTACAGAGACCCACAGGGTTACATAGAGACCAACAGAGATACATAGAGACCCACAGAGTTACAGAGACCAACAGAGTTACATAGAGACCCATAGAGTTACATAGAGACCAACAGAGTTACATAGAGACCAACAGAGTTACATAGAGACCAACAGAGTTACATAGAGACCCACAGAGTTACAGAGACCCACAGAGTTACAGAGACCAACAGAGTTACATAGAGACCCATAGAGTTACATAGAGACCCACAGAGTTACATAGAGACCCATAGAGTTACATAGAGACCCACAGAGTTACATAGAGACCCACAGAGATACATAGAGACCAACAGAGTTACATAGAGACCAACAGAGTTACATAGAGACCCACAGAGTTACATAGAGACCCATAGAGTTACATAGAGACCCATAGAGTTACATAGAGACCAACAGAGTTACATAGAGACCAACAGAGTTTCACACAGAGACCGACAGAGATTCACACAGAGACCAACAGAGATTCACACAGAGACCAACAGAGATCCACACAGAGACCAACAGAGATCCACACAGAGACCAACAGAGTTTCACACAGAGACCCACAGAGTTACATAGAGACCGACAGAGTTACAGAGACCCACAGAGTTACACAGCGACCCAATGAGCCAATGAGTTACGCTGGAGGAGGGGGTGGTGGTGGGTGGCACCGTGAGACAGAACGGGACACGGGTGCCACCATCGCGGGGGGGGGGGGGGGGGGGGAGCGTCGGCACTCACTTGCCGAAGCGCATGGTGCCGGTGACGTAGGTCTGCCAATGGGCGCAGTAGAACATGAAGACGCCCAGGAAGAAGAGGAGGAAGAGGAGGTCACAGTCGGTGCCCAGCCGCAGCGTCACCACCACGCCCATCGCCAGGAGCACTGCGCGTGGGAGAGGCGTGCAGGGGTCACCCCGCGTAGCCCACTCCGGGGCAAAGTGCCCTCACCGTTTACACCGAATTAATAAATAAGACGAGTGTTGTAACCTTTGAGGCAATACAATAGGAGTTGTGTTATAACACGTTCAAACAGAGACCCGTTTGTAAGGTGCAAACCTTTTCTGATTTTTGATACGGACAAAAAGGTATCCCGTGACGTAAATGATGTGACACGCGCTTTGTGTTTGTGCTGTTCGCCTTGAGGTGTTGTTGTCTGGTCTGACACTGGTGGTGAGTCTGGGCCATAAAGAAGGCTGAGCTGTCATCTCTGGCGTAGGCCAATCCGTTGCCAAGACAATGCGTGTATATTGTCACTTTCGGAGCTTGTGTGTTTGCATGTTCACCACAAGTACTGTGTGGGGTTGATGCAGTCACTTGATTCCTTGCACAATGTATTTATTTGGTGTTTGAACATCTTAACACAACTCCTATTTTGTTGCCAGAAGGGGTAAAACCTATTCTTATTTTTTACACTTTCATATTAGCAAAAAGGTCCAGTGAAACTGTTTATACTACGACTATTGTTTTATTTTACCAGGCAAGGCACCGCTAAGCTGCTTTGTGACTCTTTGTCAGAAGTCCGTCGTGGCCATCGCCAATGTTAGCTTGAGGACGTGGCCTACAGTGTGGAGATTTAAAGCCGCCAAAATAACTCCAAAACGCGCGGTGACGTCAAATTCTAAATGAGGGGAGAAAAATAAAAAGAGAACCTGGAGAATAATCCACGCGGCCACGGGGAGAGATGAGAGAGACACAGAAACTCCAAATATACAGCAGCAGGCGTCAGGGTCTGGGTCGAACGCATGAAACCCACGACCTCCTGAATAATAACCAGGCGAGGTGGCTAACATCTCCTAGCCACTGCGACGCTACATCGATCTCCATCCAGCAGTGGACAGACCACGATGATGAATGCGTGGAGAGACGCGTGCTTGATTTTCCGCTGGGAGGCGGAGAGAGGAGCACGTGGATTAGAGACACTCCAGACGTACAACAGGCATCAGGGTCGGGATCAAAGCCTCGAAACCCACGACCTCCCGTACACCGGGCGAGGTAGTTAACATCTCCCAGGCACCGCGCGCACCTCTGAAGGCCAGCGCCCGCACATGCAGCACTCAGCGCACGTTCTCCTCCTTCCGTCTCGCCACGTAATTCCACGCGTGCTTCGCTCTCCCACACCTCACAACCACGTGACGATGACGCCAATGTTGATGGAGGCTGTGGCCGGTGGCGATCGCGGTACCGCTGTAGATGTTGATGGTTTTGAAGTGTCCCCCGTGGTGACGGTGGCACCGGTGTTAGTGACGTTGATGATGATGAAGCTGCTGCTGCTGCTGCTGCTGGCAATGTCGATGTATGAATTATAGAGTGGACAATCCACTTAATCTGTGCCTCTCTGGTCTATGTATAATGCATGTTGAACTTCGTTTGCACCGTACGTAGCCAACCATGACAATCGGAGGTGCAGAGAATGTAGAAAAAACTAAACCCAAAAAGCTGTTCTACAGAAATTAGTTTGTCAATCTCGACCAGGGGTAGGAAATCTTTTTTCTGCCAAGGGCCATTTGGATATTTATATAACATCATTCCAAGGGCCACACTAAAATATCAACTTAAAAATTAGCCTGTTAAATTTGGTCAAAAATGTAATTAACTCGCCCCTAATGTGATGGCTGGAACTGCTTCTCTTTGGCGAGGCGTGGTGATGATGTTAGCTGGGTATTGACGATGTTGTTGCTACTTGCAACTGCTTTTGCAGGTTTGCTCTACCTAGATTTATTTAATTTCGAGTCCCGCCTGCGGTTGCCTTGGCAGGGCCACACCAAATGATTTCGCGGGCCTCACACGGCCCGGGGGCCGGACGTTCCCCACCCCTGATCTAGACGACGATTTAAAAGTGCAACACAACTCCAGTGGCTTCTTAACATCAGAAGGAAGAGCGTTCCAGACGGCCGCACAAGCGCATCTGAAAGCGTGCAATGCGGTGAAGGTGCTGCTGTTGACGATGATGATAAAGCTGCTGCTTCTGGTGCACCTGCTGATGACGACAACGACGATGATGATGATGATGATGCTGCTGCTAACTGGTGTCACTGCTCGTGATGATGATGATGCTGCTGCTAACTGGTGTCACTGCTGGTGATGATGATGATGCTGCTGCTAACTGGTGTCACTGCTCGTGATGGTGGCGGTGATGATGATGACGCTGTTGACTGGTGTCACTGCTGGTGATGATGATGATGCTGCTCCTAACTGGTGTCACTGCTGGTGATGATGATGACGATGCTGCCGCTAACTGGTGTCACTGCTGGTGATGATGGTGGTGGTGATGCTGCTGCTGCTAACTGGTGTCACTGCTGGTGATGATGATGATGATGATGACGCTGCTGCTAACTGGTGCCACTGCTGGTGATGGTGATGATGATGACGACGCTGCTGCTAACTGGTGCCACTGCTCGTGATGATGGTGATGATGATGATGCTGCCGCTAACTGGTGTCACTGCTCGTGATGATGGTGATGACGCTGCCGCTAACTGGTGTCACTGCTCGTGATGATGGTGATGATGATGATGCTGCTGCTAACTGGTGTCACTGCTCGTGATGCTGGTGATGATGATGATGCTGCTGCTAACTGGTGTCACTGCTCGTGATGCTGGTGATGATGATGATGCTGCTGCTAACTGGTATCACTGCTCGTGATGATGGTGATGACGCTGCCGCTAACTGGTGTCACTGCTCGTGATGCTCGTGATGATGATGACGATGCTGCTGCTAACTGGTATCACTGCTCGTGATGATGGTGATGATGATGACGCTGCTGCTAACTGGTGTCACTGCTCGTGATGCTCGTGATGATGATGCTGCTGCTAACTGGTGTCACTGCTCGTGATGCTGGTGATGATGATGATGCTGCTGCTAACTGGTATCACTGCTCGTGATGATGGTGATGATGATGACGCTGCTGCTAACTGGTGTCACTGCTCGTGATGCTCGTGATGATGATGCTGCTGCTAACTGGTGCCACTGCTCGTGATGATGATGATGATGACGATGCTGCCGCTAACTGGTGCCACTGCTCGTGATGGTGATGATGACAGCGTTAGATGATGATGATGATGACGATGTCGATGTCCACGCGGCGGTGATGGGTTTTAACCGGTGGAGATGGCATCGCAGCCGTGGTCAAAGAGCTCTCCTAGTGGCGAGGAGGAGCCCGTGCGTCGGGCCTGCTTCCCGTCGATGGCGTCCAGGGACTGATAGATAAAGAGTCCAAGCGCGCAGAAGGCGTAAACCCAGCGGGGAGCCTGCGGGGGGACGGGCGGGCAGGCACACAGGCGGAAGGTGTACGGGGACACACAGGTGGAGACAGGAGGGGAGACGGAGGAAGATCAGGGCACAGGCAGACACCACCACCACATCTTCTACACCTTCACAACCACCACCACCACCACCACGTGAACCTTCACCACTTCCACCACTTCCACCACTACCATCTCCATTTTCTACACCTTCACCACCACTACATCATCAACCTTCAACACCACCAACACCACCACCACCACCACCACATCTTCTACACCTTAACCACATCGTGAACCTTCACCACTTCCACCACTTCCACCACTACCATCTCCATTTTCTACACCTTCACCACCACTACATCATCAACCTTGATCAACACCAACACCACCACCACATCTTCTCAGGTTCCACAACCACCACTGATACACCATGAACTCCATCACCGCATCAATCTTCTACACTGCTCAGAAAAAATAAAAACATCAAATATTTCAAGAAGCGCAATGCACTGTGGTGGTGACCACGTGACGGGGATTTAATAAAAGACGTCACGAGAAGAGCCGCAGGTTGCCGACCTCAGATCAAGAACATTCACAACAACCACAACCACCACCACAACCATCACAACCAGCACAACCACCACCACAACCACCACAACAACCACCACCACACCAGCACCACAACCAGCACAACCACCACCACAACCACCACAACAACCACCACCACACCAGCACCACAACCACCACCACAGCCACCAGCACAACCACAACCAGCACAACCACCACCACAAACAGCACAACCACCACCACAACCACCACCACAACCACCACCACAACCAGCACAACCACCACAACCAGCAGCACAAGCACAACCACCACAACCAGCACAACCACCAGCAGCACAACCACAACCACCACCACAACCACAACCACCACCACAACCAGCACAACCACAACCACCACAACCATCAGCAGCACAACCACCACCACAACCACCACAACCACCACCACAACCACCACCACAACCACCACCACACCAGCACAACCACCACAACCAGCACAACCACCAGCACAACCACCACCACAACCACCACCACACCAGCACCACACCAGCACCACAACCACCACCACACCAGCACAACCAGCACAACCACCAGCACAACCACCACCACAACCACCACCACACCAGCACCACACCAGCACCACAACCACAACCAATACAACCACCACAACCACCAGCAGCACAACCACAACCAGCACAACCACCAGCACAACCACCAGCACAACCACAACCACCACCACAACCACCACCAGCAGCACAACCATCACCACAACCACCAGCACAACCACAACCACCACCACAACTACCACCAGCAACACAATCACCACAACCACCAGCACAACCACAACCACCAGCAGCACAACCACCACCAGCAGCACAACCACCACCACAACCACCATCACAACCACAACCACCAGCACAACCACAACCACCAGCACAACCACCAGCACAACCACAACCACCAGCACAACAACCATCATCACAAACACCACAACCACCAGCAGCACAACCACAACCACCACCACAACCAGCACCACAACTACCAGCAGCACAACCACAACAACCACCATCACCACAGCCTTCACAACCACCACAACCACCACAACAACCACTAGCACAACCACCACAACCAACACGCGCGCCATTCGCCACCACGTGACAGCGACGTCACCACGGCAACTGTGCCAGGCCAGGTGCACGTGAAGAGCACTGCAGAGACTGCTGGGGCGACGTCTGGAGTTGAGGCTGCTGACGGGACACGAGGAAAAGTTGGCAAGGCCGACGCTGGCGGGATGCGGCCACGGGGACAGCCCCAGGAGATGCCTCCACAGACCAACACCACCACCTCCTCGTCTCCCCAGCCGGTGGGTCGGTGGGTCTCCACCCCACACCACCACCCCACACCACTCCCACAACACCACCCCACACCACCACCCCACACGACCCCACAAGCCCCCACACGGCCCCACAAGCCCCCACACGACCCCACAAGACTCCACACCACCACCCCACACGACCCCACAAGACTCCACACCACCACCCCACACCACACCCCCACACCACACCCCACACCACCACCCCACACCACCACCCCACACGACCCCACAAGCCCCCACACGGCCCCACAAGCCCCCACACGACCCCACACCACCACCCCACACGACCCCACACGGCCCCACAAGCCCCCACACGACCCCACACCACCACCCCACACCGCCCCACACGACGACCCCACAAGCCCCCCACCCCGCCACCCCCCTCGTACCGCCTCGGTGGCCGTGGGGCAGAGCGCGACGAGCAGGAGCGTGGTGGCGGCGTTGCAGGCGAGTCCGCCGAGGGTGATGAGGTTCGGCGCGAGCCACAGCGGGGTCCGGGCCACGAGCCAGCACCACCAGGCGTGCAGGCCGCCGCCCTCCAGCACCGAGCGGCCGCTCGCGCTGTAGCGGTGCAGCTCCAGGCGGCGCAGCTGCTGCTGGCTCAGAGGCTCCGGGGCGGGCCACATCTGTACGATGCCGCTGCTGCTGCTGCTGCTGCCGGTGTGTGGGTGGTGTGGGTGGTGGTGTGGGTGGTGGTGTGGGTGGTGTGGGTGGTGTGTGTGTGGGTGGTGTGTGTGTGGGTGGTGTGTGTGTGGGTGGTGTGTGTGGGTGGTGTAGGTGGTGGTGTGGGTGGCGTGTGTGGGTGGTGTGGGTGGGTGGTGTGTGTAGGTGGTGGTGTTGGTGGTGTGGGTGGTGTGTGTGTGTAGGTGGTGGTTTTGGTGGTGTGGGTGGCGTGTGTGGGTGGTGTGGTTGGGTGGTGTGTGTGGGTGGGTGGTGTGGGTGGGTGGTGTGTGTGTGTAAGAGCTGCCGTCAATGAAGATCCTTCACCCGCTACCACCGCTCACCCTTCCCCTAAGATCGGCTGCGGCTCCTCCACCACCACCCGCCACGTTAATCTTGTTGACCAACCACCACCACCACCACAAGGTTCAATCCTCTCCACCGCCTCAACCTTCGTCACCACCACGACCACCCTCAATATTCCACCAGACCGCGGCTTCAGCCTTCTCCACCAGCAGCAGCGCCACCAATCTTCAATATTCACCACCACCACCACAATCTTCACCACCACCACACTCTTCACCACCACCACCTCAATCTTCACCACCACCACACTCTTCACCACCACCCCACTCTTCACCACCACCACACTCTTCACCACCACCACAATCTTCACCACCACCACCACCTCCACCACAATCTTTACCACCACCACAATCTTCACCACCACCACAATCTTCACCACCACCACCTCGCTCTTCACCACCACCACAATCTTCACCACCACCACAATCTTCACCACCACCACCACAATCTTCACCACCACAATCTTCACCACCACAATCTTCACCACCACCACAGTCTTCACCACCACCACAATCTTCACCACCACCACCACAATCTTCACCACCACCACAATCTTCACCACCACCACCACAATCACCACCACAATCTTCACCACCACCTCGCTCAACGCCGGGGATGGGAGGAATGAGCAGGAAGAAATCGATCCAGGCAGGTCAACTCAGGCATTCGTCGATTCCTCCGCAGGACTAAACGTCAATCGATTCCGCGAGACCAACTGTCGATTGCCGGTAGATCGATTCCTTCCCCCATATTGAAGACAAGCGCTGCAAGCGGAATCGATTAAAGTTAGAAGTGCGATTTCGTAGACGTCGATTCCGGATATGCGATGCGCGGCGTGCAATCCCGCTGAGACGAAGTGCGGCGGAGCTGCGATTGGTTCCGACTCGACGTTACCGTAATGTCTAGACTATAAGACCCCTCGCTGGTGTTACCGTAATGTCTAGACTATAAAACCCCTCACTGGTGTTACCGTATTGTCTAGACTATAACACCCCTTCACTCTGGTGTTACCGTATTGTCTAGACTATAAAACCCCTTCACTCTGGTGTTACCGTATTGTCTAGACTATAAGACTCCTTCACCCTCAATGGTGTTACCGTATTGTCTAGACTATAAAACCCCTCACTCTGGTGTTACCGTATTGTCTAGACTATAAAACCCCTCACTGGTGTTACCGTATTGTCTAGACTATAAAACCCCTCAATGGTGTTACCGTATTGTCTAGACTATAAAACCCCTCCCTGGTACCGTATTGTCTAGACTATAAAACCCCTCCATCTCACTGGTGTTACCGTATTGTCTAGACTATAAAACCCCTTCACTCTGGTGTTACCGTATTGTCTAGACTATAAAACCCCTCACAATCAATGTGTTACCGTATTGTCTAGACTATAAAACCCCTTCACTCTGGTGTTACCGTATTGTCTAGCATATAAGACCCCTCAATGGTGTTACCGTATTGTCTAGCATATAAGACCCCTCAATGGTGTTACCGTATTGTCTAGACTATAAGACCCCTCATTCAATGTGTTACCGTATTGTCTAGACTATAAAACCCCTCACATTCAATGTGTTACCGTAATGTCTAGACTATAAAACCCCCACTGGTGTTACCGTATTGTCTAGACTATAAAACCCCTCACTCTGGTGTTACCGTATTGTCTAGACTATAAGACCCCTCATTCAATGTGTTACCGTATTGTCTAGACTATAAAACCCCTCACATTCAATGTGTTACCGTATTGTCTAGACTATAAAAACCCCTCAATGGTGTTACCGTATTGTCTAGACTATAAGACCCCCACCCTCAGTGGTGTTACCGTATTGTCTAGACTATAAGACCCTTCACCCTCAATGGTGTTACCGTATTGTCTAGACTATAAGACCCTTCACCCTTACTGGTGTTACCGTATTGTCTAGACTATAAGACCCCTCACTCTCAATGGTGTTACCGTATTGTCTAGACTATAAGACCCCTCACCCTCAATGGTGTTACCGTATTGTCTAGACTATAAGACCCCTCACTCTCAATGGTGTTACCGTATTGTCTAGACTATAAGACCCCTCACTCTCAATGGTGTTACCGTATTGTCTAGACTATAAGACCCCTCGCTCTCAATGGTGTTACCGTATTGTCTAGACTATAAGACCCCTCAATGGTGTTACCGTATTGTCTAGACTATAAGACCCCTGACCCTCAATGGTGTTACCGTATTGTCTAGACTGTAAGACCCCTCAGTGGTGTTAACGTATTGTCTAGACTATAAGACCCCTCACCCTCACTGGTGTTACCGTATGGTCTAGACTATAAGACCCCTTCACTCTGGTGTTACCGTATTGTCTAGACTATAAGACCCCTCAATGGTTTTACCGTATTGTCTAGACTATAAAACCCCTCAATTGTGTTACCGTATTGTCTAGACTATAAGACCCCTCACCCTCAATGGTGTTACCGTATTGTCTAGACTATAAGACCCCTTCACCCTCAATGGTGTTACCGTATTGTCTAGACTATAAGACCCCTCAATGGTGTTACCTTATTGTCTAGACTATACGACTCCTTCACTCTCAATGGTGTTACCGTATTATCTAGACTATAAGACCCCTCAATGGTGTTACCGTATTGTCTAGACTATAAGACCCCTCAATGGTGTTGCCGTATTGTCTAGACTATAAGACCCCTTCACTCTCAATGGTGTTGCCGTATTGTCTAGACTGTAAGACCCCTTCACCCTCAATGGTGTTACCGTATTGTCTAAACTATAAGACCCCTGACCCTCAATGGTGTTACCGTATTGTCTATACTATAAAACCCCTCAATGGTGTTACCGTATTGTCTAAACTATAAGACCCCTGACCCTCAATGGTGTTACCGTATTGTCTAGACTATAAGACTCCTTCACCCTCAATGGTGTTACCGTAGTTCAAATGAAAGAAACTAAAAGCTCAGTGGACTTTACCTAATAAAATAAACATGTTTTTAGTGAACCTCTGACACTTCCGATACCACTACACACGTTTTCACAACCGAACCCCGTGCCCCCTTACTGCACGTCTGCGTGAAGAGCTTTATAGCTCATCGGATTTCTACAATTAGATTATATTTTAAGATACACAACGCTTCGTTTATTTTTGTGTGGAAATTGTTAACGGTATTTAAAAAAACACATATATATTAAGTTAACTGGCATACGCAGATTGTTGTAAATCCTAAGCGATTGAAAGGAAATGTTAGCACTGTATCGAGTTTGATGTTCTTGTGTCAACACTTCAAAGATCACCCCTTAATGCAGTTATGTATGTAAACAACTTTATTGCATCCATAACTTTATTGCAGTAATATCTCATGAGGTAAACAATACAGCTGTTAACGACCATTATTAAACATGTCATAATGTTTTAAATGTAATCATAAATGTAATCGTGGTTTCTTACATTGTTCGAGGTAAAGCTGCCGTTATAAACCGCAAGTTACATTAACATAAAGTCTATAAACGTTTAAAATTACATTTCCACAACACCCAAACATTTTGGCGGGAACGAGTTAAAGTGATCAATTATCGATTAAAAACACCAATTAAACGTTAATAACGTTCAAGATAATTTACCATGCGTGGTTTGTATGGTAAAGCATAGTCTTAATGTAAACAATTTCACTTCAACAAAATCACATTTCTTTACACTTTTTAAGGTAAAGTTGCCCCTTGTAAACTGCATTCTCATCTTACGTTAAAATAAATATTAAAGAAATACTTAAAGACGAAATTTTACCTTTGGCCGGAAGCGAGCGCTGGGACCGAACAAATAAAACTTTAAAATGTTATTTTTGTTTTATTACAGATTGCCTTAAGAAATCCCACGGTAGTCGATTACTTTCTCGCTAATTTAGTAACCGAAGACTGGATAATCAATTTTTTTTGTTATATTTTACTGAACGTTGATGTGGAGCGGCATTGTCCACAGGGAGTCAATGCCGACAACGCGTTCATAATAAATAAGGTTTTTTTGGGTTAGATCGCGTTACTTATAAATGTGTCAAACAATGCTTCACAAGGCCTTAGAGTAAACATTGGGGGGCTGTCCCCCCCCCCCCCCCCCAGAAAAAAATAAAAATTATAAAACTAATTTCCTGCCTAAAATATTTTCAAAAGTAACTAACACGTAGGATGGAATTTGTATTCCTTTTTTTACAATGTCTAATAGTGTTATTGTATTACATTGCTCTGGGTTTTGTATTCATTGTTTCAGTGTAAGTAATGGCAGAGGTTAGGGATTAATAACGTATAACCCATAACCACAATCATATAAACATAAATCTATTTTATAATATATTGGGGGGGGATGCGTCCCCTTCAATATTTATTATAATTATATTTATTATAACTACGGCCTTGATGCATCATACAAGGTGCATTTAAACAAAATAAAACGATACCTTTAAGGACAAAATACTCCAGGGAGATATAAAAATACCGCAAAAGGCGGATCGATAATGAAGCGTTTCGGGTGAGGGGCAAGATGTTTCTTGGAAGACTTTCTTTGTTAAAGTTGAAGATTAATCGTACAAAGTATTTCCAGCAGACAATGGTGCACACAACCTTCGTAAATCCGTCTGTACGCGTACAAAACTTCACTTTTATTGAAGTATTTATGATTTTTGTTAATCAAAAAGGCATTTTTTATGGTAGCGCGTCATTAACATTCACAACGATTCAAAGTTCAGCAAAGTCGTCATCACACGACCTCTCATCTCTCCTGCACCACCTCGTCATCGTCCACCTCGTCATCGTCCACCTCGTCATCGTCCACCCTCAGCCACCACTAACCCCACCTCGTCATCGTCCACCTTCAGCCACCACTAACCCCACCTCGTCCACCTCGTCATCGTCCACCTTCAGCCACCACTAACCCCACCTCGTCCACCTCGTCATCGTCCACCTTCAGCCACCTCGTCATCGTCCACCTTCAGCCACCTCGTCCACCTCGTCATCGTCCACCTTCAGCCACCACTAACCCCACCTCGTCCACCTCGTCATCGTCCACCTTCAGCCACCACTAACCCCACCTCGTCCACCTCGTCATCGTCCCCCACAACTTCAGCCTCGTCCGTTTCGTCCGCGTCGTCCACCTCCACCGCGTGGCGCCTCGTCCACCACCGCCACCTCGTCCACCACCGCCCCCTCCTCGCGCGCCTCCTCCGCCTCCTCGTACACCTCTTCCACCGCCTCCTCCGCCTCTTCCACCACCTCGTCCACCTCTTCCACCGCCTCCTCCGCCTCTTCCACCACCTCGTCCACCTCGTCTTCCACCACCTCGTCCACCTTCTCGGCGCCCTCTACCTCGACCGCCTTCATCTCTCGATCTGGAGGCGGACAAACGAGGGGCGAGCATCGAAAACCGCCGCATCGCAGGCAAATAAAAAATAAAAACCTTAAAACAATCGCACCTGGCCGCCCGCTCTTATATATTAAAGAAGAAAGAAATCGACACGAACCACTGTACATCTATACAAGTATATCGGATTCCCCCGGTAATTAAACAAAAACAATCCTAAAAACCGCCACGCACCGCTGTGAGGAGAGTTGTGGTCGGACTAAACAACAGAGGCCTTCGACCGCGTGGTGCTTAAGTTACAGCAGAAGTTCAACTAAACATGAGCGATATAAATACCGCGTGTGTTGACGATCGATATAAAGTACCGCGTGTGTCGATGATCGATATAAAGTTACCGCGTGTGTTGACGATCGATATAAAGTTCGATGGTGTGTCGATGGTTCCGTCGAGGTGAGGAGAGACAAACTCGTTTAGAGTTGTCGCCGTCTGTGCCGCGACGTCCTTCAGAGCGCCGCTCAGCCGCGCGCGCTCACGCCGAGGATGTTTGTGGTGGACGTCCACGCCACTGCTTGCTTACTAAGAGAAGTTAACTTCAACATTTTGGCGCCAAAGTGAAGCCGGCGTCGCCATCTTACGCCGGGGACCTCTGGCCGAAGGGAGGGGGTTAAAGCCGTGCGTCGACGTTATTAATTAATTATAATTTCAATTCATGTTCGCTATTATTTATCGGCACTAGTGGTAATCGTATCCTACGACGCCGCACGTGAATTGTTTATTGTGATATTTATAGTAATATATTAAAGGTAGGGGGGGGGGTTTCCCTACCCAAAATGGCCGCCAGTTCTCATCACGTGAAAATGACGTCACCCCCTAAGTTTTTCCCACGCGCCTCGTAAATAAATTGGCGGGAATTTCCAGCAAACATATACAGTATAAATACACGCACTGTATATCTTTATATATATACCATCAGGAATTACTCGGCTTTGCTCGGGGGTAAAAAAATAAAAACATTTCAAAACTTGTCTTCTATTGAAAAAATAACATTTACATGCACACATCCTAATCTATTTAAAAATCCCGGCGTTCCGTTTGTCCATTTATCCGTCAACCAGATGGTAATACCCTAATACCCTTATTATCATCTAGTTTCAGAAAGCCTGAATCAACAAGTTACATATACAAACACAAAGACAATTTCAACCGAGAAGATGGATTTGGCTTAGCAATCATTGGAAGTATTTGATAAACCATTTCAGGTCTTAATTGATTGTTCACGCTTACGGTGGCTGTCAGACCGCATCCATAATTTTCGTCTCCCCCCTCCTCTTTTCCGAGCATAGATGGACTCGTCCATCTGAACAAACTGTCAAATCGCTCTCCGTGGTGCTAACGTTAAAAAAACACCGCCACTTTTTTCAAATTTTCTTGCTGTGGTTTTCACACCTGATGATGATTGCTTCTTGTGTTGCAGTCGAAACGTCGTGAGAATTTTATTGTTTTATATTTTTATTATTTTATTGTTTCCCTTCTACGTGACTTTACCTATTCTTAGTTCTTTAGGTAAAATAATAAAAATATAAAACAATAAAATTCTCACAACGTTTCGACTGCAACACACCTGATGATGATTGCTTGTGTTGCAGTCGAAACGTCGTGATAATTCTATTTTGATTTAAAGCTTTCGTGACTGCAGGGATTCATATTCTTGTTCACACTTGCTGTGGTTCACGCTTGCTGTGGTTTTCAAATTTTCTTGCTGTGGTTTTCACACCTGATGATGATTGCTTGTGTTGCAGTCGAAACATAGTGAGAATTTTATTGTTTTATATATTTTATTATTTTATTGTTTCCCTTCTACGTGACTTTACCGAAAGAACCAAGAATATGATAATTTTATTGTTTTATATTTTTTATTATTTGATTGTTTCCCTTCTACGTGACTTTACCGAAAGAACCAATAATATGATAATTTTATTGTTTTATATTTTTATTATTATTTTATTGTTTTCCTTCTACGTGGTGACTTTACCGAAAGAACCAATAATATGATAATTTTATTGTTTTATATTTTTATTATTATTATTTTATTGTTTTCCTTCTACGTGGTGACTTTACCGAAAGAACCAATCATATGAATCCCTGCAGTCACGAAAGCTTTAAATAAAAATTTATACAAACATAGGTCACTCCCACACACTTTGTACGATTATAAAGCGCTGTAATAGAGCGATAAAATCGTACTCCCGATGAAATCAATTAGAGGTTTGCTCACCCGACAATCATCAATCACAGATTTGCCCACCTGACAAAATCATCGATCACAGATTTGCCCAGCTGACGAAATAATTGACCACAGATTTTCACACGGGACAAAATCACTGATCAGAGATTTGCCCACATGACAAAATCACGATCACAGATTTGCCCACCTGAAGAAATCACCGATCACAGATTTGCCCACCTGACGAAATCACCGATTACAGATTTGCCCACCTGGCGAAATTTTCGATCAGGGATTTGCACATCAGAAAAAAATCACCGATCACAAATTTGCCCCCCAGTGGCCATATCTTTAGCTGAAGGGGCCGTGTCTTTGCCCCGCATATGTGGCCGTTGTGGATCGTGAGTCGAGGCAAATTTAGCATCGATTCTGCTCAGTCGATCTGGCACCACCCGGCTCAAAGTTGATCAGACAGCCATTTTGAAAATCGATCGGACAGTCATCTTGAAAATCGATTGGGCAGCCATATTGAAGATCGATCAGACAGTCATTTTGAAAATCGATCGGGTGGCCATTTTGAAAATCGATCGGACAGCCATTTTGAAAATCGATCAAGCAACCATCTTAAAAATCGATCGAGCAGCCATCTTGAAAATCGATCGAGCAGCCATCTTGAAAATCGATCGGGCAATCATTTTGAAAATAGATCGGGTGGCCATTTGGAAAATCGATCGGACAACCATCTTTAAAATCGATCGGGCAGCCATTTTGAAAATCGATCAGTCATTTTGAAAATCGATCGGGTAGCCATTTTGAAAATCGATCGGACAGCCATCTTCAAAATCGATCGGGCAGACATTTTAAAAATCAATCGGACAGCCATCTTGAAAATTGATCGGGCAGCCATTTTCAAATCTATCAGGCAGCCATTTTGAAAATCGATCGAGCAGCCATCTTGAAAATCGATCGGACAGTCATTTTGAAAATAGATCGAGTGGCCATTTTTAAAATCGATCGGACAGTCATTTTGAAAATCGATCGGGTGGCCATTTTGAAAATCGATCATACAGCCATCTTCAAAATCGATCGGGCAGCCATTTTGAAAATCAGTTGGACAACCATCTTGAAAATCGACCGGGCAGCCGTTTTGAAAATTAATCAGACAATCATTTTGAAAATCGATCGGGTGACCATTTTACAAATCAGTCGTACAGCCATCTTGAAAATTGATCGGGCAGCCATTTTCAAATCTATCAGGCAGCCATTTTGAAAATCGATCAAGCAGCCATCTTGAAAATCGAGCAGCCATCTTGAAAATCGATCGAGCAGCCATCTTCAAAATCGATCAGACAGCCACCACCCGGCTCAAAGTTGATCAGACAGCCATTTTGAAAATCGATCGGACAGCCATCTTGAAAATCGATCGGGCAGCCATATTGAGAATCCAACAGTCATTTTTAAAATCGATCGGGTGGCCATTTTGAAAATCGATCAGACAGCCATTTTGAAAATCGATCGAGCAACCATCTTTAAAAAATCGGGCAGCCATCTAGAAATTGATCAAGCAGCCATCTTGAAAATTGATCGAGCAGCCATCTTGAAAATCGATCGAGCAGCCACCTTCAAAATTGATCGGACAGTAATCTTGAAAATCGATCAGGCAGCCATCTTGAAAATCGAATAGACAGGCACCACCCGGCTCAAAGTTGATCAGACAGCCATTTTGAAAATCGATCGGACAGCCATTTTGAAAATCAATCGGGCAGCTATTTTGAAAACCGATTAGGCTGCAATTTAGAAAATCGATCAGGCATCCATCTTGAAAATCGATCGGGCAGACGTCTTGAAAATCGATTTGGCAGCCTTTTTGAAAATCGATTGGGCAGCCATTTTCAAAATTGATTGAGGAGCCATCTTGAAAATCGATCGAGCAGCCATCTTGAAAATGGATCAGGCAGCTATTTTGTAAATCTGTCTGGCAGCCATCTTGAAAATCGATTGGGCAGCCATCTTGAAAATCGATCGGGCAGCCATCTTGAAAAATCGACCGCATTGATTTTGACCACAGCTCAACCCCCAAGTTTTGTCCAGTTTCAATAAAGTTATACAAAGCCTTCAGACACACTTGATTATAAGACGCATGATGTACCTTTGTCCAGTTTCAATAAAGTGATACAAAATTATGACTGGGGGACGGGAAGGTGCGTCTTATCGTCCAATAATACGGTATCCATTGAGACAAAATAGATTTTGCTGATGTGAGTACAGCTGTGGTGCCACGGCCGCGGAGGAACTCCGCAAGCGCCGCGATTCCCTCCCGGCCCCCGCACTAAACACACACAGACACACGCACGCAGCACAACCCACGGAGCGTCCTGGCGGGGGATTGCCTGGCACATCGGGTTTTAACCCGAAGGGCCCCTAGGGGGAGAGTCCCACGGTTTCCCGGTGCCAGGAGATTGGCCGACCCTCGCGGGACAGGTCACATTGCGGCGCCACTAAAATTGCCTTAAAATTGTATGGGCGCAGAAAGAAAAGGTTCCCTGGGCCAACCGCAATGAGTTACTCGGAACATTGGGGGGAGGACGGAGGGTGGAATATTAGGCATAAAGAGCTGACCTGTAGACGAGAACTACTGGGCACGGGAGAACAATGGGT